TCTCCCCCCCAGTTCCCCGGACATGTGTCCTCATTCCATCTATTCACGGAGAAAGTCCTGGAGGCTTAGTTGATGCATGCACCCATTGATCTTTGCGGTCAGTGTATGATCGCTGCATGACGTCGGTGCTGATCTTTGCGGTCAGTGCGAAAATCTCATGTCAAAGGCGGGTAAGGTAGAAAGAAAATCAAAGAATCGAACATGATATTTTCTTCTGCGTCCATTTCTTTTGTTTTTTGAACTTTTTTTCTTTTTTCTAATCGTAAAATGTCCAGGGTGTAGTAGAGGGTGGTGACCAGGCCTCAGGAGGTGCCCCGGTACCCATCCATTGGGAGGTCAGATGGAATTGCAGGGACCCTAAGGGGGGGGGGGGTCACCTCAAGATGGTACCATGATACCGTAACCTATACTAATGCTCAGATCGCAAGTTGTGATCTGTGCCAACGCTTACCACAGACTAACCCGAACGTCTTTTTCGTGCAGATACTACCCTAACTGTATGTTAAGGACGACCTGGGCATTCATGGGGATGAAGTGCACACAAACTGTTTTGTGTCCAGAAACATTCCCCACTTTGCTTCGTTGTCTCATCACTCTCTCCCAGCATTGCGTCTCATTCTTCTCTCTCATCACTCTCTCCATCAGTCTCTCCCATGATTGTTTCCCATCCCTTCTCTCCCTCTCTCTCCCTCTCTCTCCCTCTCTATTCCCCTCTCTCCCATTCCCTCCCACCATTCTCTGCCACCACTCTCCCACCATTTTCTCCCACCACTCTCCCACCAATCCCCCCAACCAGTCTCTCCCATGATTGTGTTCCACCCCTTCTCTCCCTCTCTCTCCCATTCCCTCCCAGCATTCTCTCCTGCCATTCTCTCCCGCCACTCCGCACCATTCTCTCCCATCTCCCACATTCTCCCATCATTATCACCTCCATTCTCCCATCGTTCTCTCCCCTCCATTCTCCCAGCGTTATCTCCCATCACCATCATTTTCCCATCGTTCTCCCCCATCTTTCTCTCTCATTATTCTCTCTCCTCCTCCTCCTCTCCCATCCTTGGCCTTCTCATTGTTCTTCCCCAGCGTTTTCTCTCGACATTCTCTTCCCGCTTTCTCTCCTTTCCTTCTCTCCCATCTCCAGCCGTTCTGTTCCATCGTTATACCACCCCTCTCTCCCTATTCCTCTCTCCCAAAGAACGACCGGTTCAGTTTGCGACCATCCTGTCTCCTTTGTGAATGCAGAAAGGTAATTAATTGACACAAGCGGATGCCCGCCGCATCCCCAGCGGGGACCAAGAGCTGTGAAAAACGGATGCGCAAGATCACATTCATAAACCGAGAAATGGTCCAAAAGAAAAGAAAAAGCAAAACAAAACCGGAACGACCCAGAGGAGATCAGGATCCGCGTCCAACTACTCTCCACATGCAGAAAAAAACAGTAAACATGGCAACGTATTGAGGTGACCCTTTCTCGATTTATGAATGTGATCTTTCTCATCCGTGCAAGGATTCAGTCTGATTTGAACATTTGGAGAGTAGTGCAGTGAGGTGACCCTGCGCAAGGACGCCACGCATAAGCCGAGAAAGAGTCCCAAAAAAAAAAGAAAAAAAAAGGTCGGAACCACCCAGAAGATTACGGGTTGCGCTCACTACTCTCCACAGCACAAAAGACAAAAAAGAAAGACAAAAAAACATGGCAATGTACCTTTCCATGTTCTAGCGGACGCTTCAAAAAATATGGCTTGTTGGTGCATTCAGTCCTGCCAGATGTAAAAAGAAAAAAAAGAAAGAAAAAGAAAAAAGCAACGAATCTATGCCAGCACTAAAACGTACACAGAAAACGACAAAAAGATGCCAGCGAAGCGACGACGAAAAACGTACACAGAAAACGACAAAAAGATGCCAGCGAAGCAACGACGAAAAATGTACACAGAAAACGACAAAAAGATGCCAGCGAAGCGACGACGAAAAGGAAAGGAAAACATCGCGTACGGGCCTAGGTCCACTACTCTGGACATGCAAACATGGCAATGTATCTATCCATGTTTTGGTTGAGGATTCGGGACCGAGGCTCTGTGCACACACGGAACGCCAAAACAGACAACCGACGCCTTTTGCTCGGGCCCAGCCTGGGCCCGCGCGCTTTTTTCCCAACAGTGGCAAGCCGGTCTCGCGTGGGAGCGAGGAGCGTCACGCGAGACCCGCTGCTGCTTTAAGGAAGAGTAAGTAAGGGAAAACATGAAAAGCTAAGTGCTGCTGAGCCAACTCATCCCTGGAAGGAATGTGATGGGGAACTCGAGGGAGAACATATGTTCTACAAATCAAATTCTACAAAGCCTATTTAAGAAATTTCAATCGTTTTTTTTTTGTTTCATCGAAAAAAAAATGTTTTGCATAACAAATTGATCTATTGCGTGCTTTGTCAACTTTTGCTCAATCCATCAAAAGATTCAAAACTTGTGGTTTTGGGGTTGGTTTTGGGATTTTTGTAAAGTTCTACTGAGAAAAAAAAAACGGATGAATAAGAGTGTTCTTTAAACCACCACTACCTCCGATCCTGTTTTTGCCAAGCCTGATTTTCACTGCGCACCGAGTTTTGCGGAGCGGGGGCAGTTTCGTCCAAGAAGGAACAAGGGAAAAAAAGGAAAAAAGAAACTTCCAAACGCCTTGATAACCACCAGATACATTCTATGAGGTGCCCGTGTGACTGTGATCTCAGTGAGGGCGTGTAGCAGACATGGCAGCGGCGGACAACCAAACCGGACAAATCCGGACACCGGACACCGGGAATCCCGGTTTAATCCGACCGTCCGGTTTTCCGGTATTTTCCGGTTGCTCCGGACATGTCCGGATTCCTGTCCGGATAGGCATATATGTCCGGATTAAAAAAAAAAAAAAAAACTAAAAAAAAACTTCGTTCAAGTGGCACCAGAAAAGCCTTGGGGTGAATGGGGGATGTGGGAAGTAGGGGGGTGGGAAACGTTTTGACATCTCACCAAAGTGACTGAACATACCTTGTGAAAGAACATAGCTTTACTAAAAGTTTACTCTGGAAAGAAAGTCAAATGTCAGCAAACACCACATGAATTGCAAACAGCTCAACAAACACCAAATTGGCATGAAGTTAGGAATAAGTCTGCATAACCTTTTATAAAACAATTTGAACTTTGAACTTTTGAGGTGTGAAGACTATGAAGTTCGAACTTCGAACTTCAAACTTAAAGTTCAGACATTCCTAAAAGGTCTCTTGGGCATTCATTGTGAATGAGAAGTTGAAAGTTGAAACTCAATTTACTCTCNCTCTCTCTCTCTCTCTCTCTCTCTCTCTCTCTCTCTCTCTCTCTCTCTCTCTCCTTTAGGCGTTTTTCACCGATAGGGCGTTCTTCATCACTTGTGCCATATTCAGATGTAGCAACACCAGCGGCCTCTTCAGATTGTCCTCCATCTCGTTGTCTCTTTCGTTGGAGACCACCCCCCTCTCCTTCGTTCTCCTCCTCGCTGTCGCTATCGCTGCACTCCTCTGCATCTTCCTGAACTTCCTCTATAGAAGCCAGATTCGAAGCTTCTCCATTCTCGGGGGCCACGTATTTTCGCGGCCTGCCTCTTCCGCGTTTTTCTTGCTGCCCAACCTGCGCTGCTGTTGCAGCATCACGAGGATCTGCTACACCACCTCTCTTCATATGCTTGCGCATATGCTCTGCTGTTCCCAAGGACCGTGCCTTCTTGCGCGCTTGTCTATGCGAACGTGAGGCCATATACATGCCTGCCTTCGTTAATCCTCTCCAGTCTTCCGCGTGCCCATCCTCAATGGCATCCAGCTCACACGGCTCACGGCGATGATCAGCAGCCTCGTCCCCGCCTTCGTCACCCCCTTCATCTGGAGGTGGAGCAGCATCCTCCCCACTCGACTCGATCCGCTTCAATCTGCACTCAGCCAACTTCGCCCGCTCAGCCTGCTCCTGCTCTTCCTCGGTGGGCGGGTCATCCCAGTCAATCACATCTTGGCCCATCTCGGGCATCTGCTGCAAGGTATCAAGCAGGTACATATTCCACCTGCAATACACCAATTTCTGCAYTGTTTCAGGGGCCAAGCCGTTGCGYGGGCGAGTGTGGATCGCCTCGAAGAGACTCCAATTTCTCTCRCARCCCGAGGCAGATGTTCCCTGGCCAAGAATGCGGATGGCATGTGGCTGCAAGTACCGTAACTCGGTACACCACCGAAGCCACCATGCTGCAGGGTTTTGCTTCCGTGCCGCTGCCATCGCCTTCTCAGAGGAAAACTTCCCAATGTCTTGCACCCAACAATCCACCTCATATTCCACCTGGTCTATCACCTCCTGCGGATCCAAGAACAATGCGTGGTGGCTCATACGAAGAACCCGTCTTGGAAGAGCAGAAGGAGCAGGCTGAGCGGGCGAAGTTGGCTGAGCGCAGATTGAAGCGGATCGAGTCGAGTGGGGAGGATGCTGCTCCACCGAGCCATCCCCCCAACCACGTGTATAACCACGTGAAGAACCCGTCTTGGATCTCCGGGTCATTGTGTGGCTCATACGAGCGGTACTCCGGATCCAAGAACAATGCTGCACAATGCAGCGGCGTGGTCATCACATTCCATCGGCGCATGATCATTTCCTTGATGTCCTCCCGCTCATCCTTTGGCAATTTTGGATTGCCCCGCAATCTTTCCACTGCCTTGTCCATCCTCGCATATAATTTGCTGATGGTGGGTCCAGTGCCGTCCACCACCTTCAGCAGCAGGACAATGTCATAAACAGCGGAGATAACTTTGTTGACGCCCTCCCAAAAGCCCGCTCCATCAAGGACAATCTCCTCCATCTCGTGGAATGTGTCGCGCTGCACATGAGGTACGACGGTCGGCTTCCAACGAGCATCGTGTCTGACCGTGGCAACCAGTGCATTGCGTTGCTTTTTTAGGTGGTCGAGCATATGAAAATTTGTAGCGAACCGTGTTGCAGCAGGCCGCAACATTTGCCTCCCGCCGGAGTGCACGTAGAAGATGTCACGTTCGCGCTGGTGGTTCATGAAGAACTTCACCACGTCATTGCCCTTTCCCACAACCTCCTTCACCCAGTCGGTCCGCCCGATGTCGTGCAACATGAGGTCCAGGCAATGCGCTGCGCATGGTACATGAAAGATGGTGGGAAATGTGTCCTCCACCAGCCTTCCCGCTCTTGCACACACGGCCGCATTGTCCATGATGACACCGACCACAACTTTCTCGCCAACCTCCTTGATTGACTGCGACAGGATGTTGAAGTACGCCTCTGATCCTTTCTCCTTTCCCGACATGCAGTGGGATTTCCAAAAAACCACACCGGTCGGAAAGGAGACCATCACATTCAAGTGTGGCCGTCCTTTCCGATCCGTCCACCCATCCAATTGGAGCATGCAGCCTGTGCGTGCCCATCTTTTATGTTGCCGCGCCACTCCCTCCGCCACACGCGCCTCGCTGACGTCTAATCTCTTCGTTCGCTGCACATCGTACTTCGCAGGGATGAAGGACCGTTCTGCTTCGCGAACCTTCTGCAACATCCGCAAGAAGTACTTGCTGCGCACCATCGTGAATGGGACCCGATCAAACACCAACCAATCATCAATTGAGCGCTGTGCTTCCTCGTTCTTTGACACGATTGCCCCACCCTCTTCGAGCGTAGTTTGCCGCGCCCGGATGTTGGATGAACGCGTGCTGTTTGGCTGCTTTTGGGTACTTGCCTGCGGAGAGGTTGGGCTATTGCACTCGTCCTCCTCCCCCACAACCTGCTCATCCACGTCCCTCTCTTGGGAACGACATTCCTCAAATTCATCAACATCCTCATGCGCTTGCCGCTTTCCCAAGACCAGAGCAATGGCCTCAAGTCGGCCCAACTCTCTCCTCTCTTTCTCCTCCGCCGACAGCCTACTGCTCACCCTTGCCATGTTACATCTTGGCCCCTTCGTCGTAGACATGAAGTGCTTAGCGTAGCGATTCGCAGTGCCCGGGAAGACATGTTCGCAGTACCAGCACTTCCATTTGTATTTGCCCTTGTCCGGATCCCCCACCACTTCGAGCTGCACGAAGTGCCGCTTAATGGCATCTGAACCTCCCTTAGGCATCCTGCAGACATTGAAAACTGCCCAATCAAACGACAAGGGGCCATGGGAGATCAGATCAAATGTTGTCTGAGTCTACGTCTGTCTCTCTCTCCCTGCCTTTTCGTCTCTCTCTCTCCCTCTATCAATCAATCAAGCTCATCAATCAATCAACCAATCAATCAATCAATCAATCAATCAATCAATCAAAAATTTGACAGCATTTCCCCACCCCCCATGGGGTCGAAATGAATTGCAGCAGAAGTTCGAATCATGACATGCAGTCCAATCAGAACAGAACTTTGAATAAAATATTTAACGGCATTTCCCCGCCCCCATGGGGTCGAAATGCAAGCTAAGAGAACTGTGGCTGAGATCAACAACACCGATCAATCAATCAATCAATCAATCAATCAATCAATCAATCGATCAATCAATCAATCAATCAATTGATCAATCCATCCATCCATCCATCCATCCATCCATCAATCAATCAATCAATCAATCAATCCATCGATACTTGTGTCAATCAATCAATCAATCAATCAATCAAGCGATTGATCAATTGATCTATCGATCAATCAATCAATCAATCCATCGATCCTTGTGTTGAACACTAGTATTGATTGATTGATTGATTGATTGATCGATCGATCAATCGATCGATTGATTGATTGATTGATTGATCGATTGATTGATTGATTGATCAATCAATCAACCAATCAATAAAAAACAAACTTTGATCTACCAACAGCAAAGGCAAACTGCCACCCTCTTTTTTTTTTTCTTTTTTTTTTTTGAAAAACATCCTCCCCGGTGATAGACTGCAAACTGCCACTTCAAACTTCAAAAATTGAAAACAAAACGTAAGTTAATAAACAAACGAGCAAGGGGCGGCAAGAAAGTAGCAAGGGTGGGCGAGAAAGGAGGTGGAGTACAAGTGGTAGTAGTAAGTCCGGGGGGAGGAGGACGGCGAGGTGGAAAAGTAGGAGTGAAGGTCAGATGAGAACGAGGGAGGACGAGGACGATGGACGAATGGGGATGATGAGGAAGATGGACGACGAAGATTGAAAAAAAGAAAAGCTGGGGGGGGGCAGGGCGGTTCGTAGAGAAAGTGGACAACAAGACCAAGACGAGTAGGAGGAGGAGGACGAGGTGGAATGGGTCGATGATGTCGACGACAGAGCCAGTCATCATGACGTGGAGAAGAGAAGCGAGATCAAGGGGGGGTGGGGGGGAAAACAAAACGAAATAACTTTAAATAAGGCACCACGTGGCACAGACGGGACCGGGGGGGCGGGAGGTTAGAGCAAGTACACGGCGAGGACCAAGATGTGGAGGAGGAGGAGGAGGGGGTGGACGAAGACGTGGAGGAGGAGGACGAGCGGTACGAGGAGGATAAATAGGTGGAAGAGGGGGAGCAGGGGGAGAAGGCAGAGGAGGGGGAGGGGGAGACGAAGACGAATCTGATGATATGGACGGGGAGCACGAGGAGAACGACGAACAAGATCGGAGGGGGGAAAAAAAAATAAAGGTGCCACGTGGCACGGGTAGAAGTGGGGGGGGGGAGCTTACAGCAAGTAGATAACGCGGACCAAGGCGAGGAGGAGTTGGAGGAGGAGGAGGGGGAGAAGGACAAAGACGTGGAGGAGGAGGGGGAGGAGTTAGGACGGCGACAACAACGAGGAGGGGGACCACGACGAAGATGGACAAAGAAGAGCGAAGAAGAGCGAAGAAAAGAAAAGCGGTTCAATGACGAGAAAGACGAGTAGGAGGTTGAGACATGCGTGCATGAGGAGCATAGCGGGAGATAGACGTGCAGGAGGAGCGAGAGGAGGACGTGCAGGAGGAGCGAGACGATTGATGACGATGGGAAGGAGGAGAAGGGTCGAAAAGCCTCGAGCCCCGCATTGCTCTCCAAGCTCGTCCCACGTGCATTTCCCAATGGCACGAACGAAAGTGTTTGTCGTCTACTACTCCATGTACGGCCACGTGGCCAAGCTGGCACAACAGATCAAGAAAGGGGTTGACAGCGTGGCAGGCTGTGAGGGCCATCTGTTTCAAGTGCCTGAGACTCAGTCGGAAGCAGTGTTGCAGAAAATGCACGCTCCGCCTAAGCCAGCTGAGATCCCGGTGATCACTCCGGCGAAGCTGGCAGAAGCAGACGGAATAGTGTTCGGATTCCCGACCAGGTTCGGAATGATGGCGGCGCAGWTGAAAGCGTTCTTCGACTCGACGGGGAGCTTGTGGCAGTCGCAGGCCTTGGCGGGAAAGCCCGCGGGAATCTTCATCAGCACGGGGACSCAGGGGTGAGGGCAGGAGACCACGGCGCTCACTGCCATAACTCAGCTTACGCACCATGGAATGATCTTTGTTCCAGTTGGATATGGATTGGGTGACGGGTTGTCCAAGATGGACGAGGTGAGAGGAGGCTCGACGTACGGGGCAGGCACATTTGCTGGAGCGAGAGGGGACAGAATGCCCACCGAGTTGGAGCTCGATCTCGCTCATTACCAAGGAAAGATGTTTGGCCCCATCGCAGAGAAACTCAAGACGGCGGCTTCAAGTTGATTGGCCGATAGATCGTTCGACACCGAAAATGCAGGGACGTCAACGCCATGGCGCCGTTTCTGATCGCCCGCGGCCGATACATGGTGGCACACCGTCAGGAGGTGGTATAAGATTGGCGTCCCGCGCGTGTGTGTGTGTGTGTGTGTGTGTGTGTGTGTGTGTGTGTGTGTGTGTGTGTGTGTGTGTGTGTGTGTGTGTG